AAGAGTTTGATTATTTCGATTTGTATAGGAGTTTCTCAAATCACCGCTTCTGGTGTTCCATTTCGAAAAGTCGTAAATGTTGCGAAAGAGTTGGAGATGATTCGACGTGAGGGATTTGAGTAGCATGAGGGCAAGAGGGCCCATCATTCAGATGATTTGGGTAGTGCTCCTCCTAAGAGTTGAGGTTACTCAAGGAGAGGTTATCACTCTTAGTCTAACCGACTCATTCATGTTGCGATACCAGTGTATGAAGTTAATTATATTGGGCATAGTTCTTCTAGTTTGATACATACTTCACATGGTTCATCTTTTAGCTAGACCTATAGGTTGTGGAGGGCATTCCGGTCATTTAGGTTTCTCTCATCAGCCTACGTCTTATATTTATCAAAATACCCTTATTTAGTATTTTCTTAAAGTCAAGTTTCAATCAATGAACATAAATTAAATTATTTTGATGAATTAATTTGACCAACATACATGAATCATTTACTTAATTTTTCTGTGTTGGTCAAATGTATATTTTCTAGACTAATAACTTTCAAGAGTAAAGTAGGAATAATAGAGTCATTTATGCATTGATTTTGTGAAATGACAAGTATTAAAAAGCATCTATTTTTAGTAAAGATAACAGGTAAAAAAGAACAAATGAAGTATTTTTCTATTCTTTTTACCATATGTTTCAACACTACTTAATTTCGTAACTATTAATTCTCCTAATACTTCTTATAATCTATTTTAGGACTTCTTAATTACAGTAAAACCTCATTAAATTAATACTCGATTAATTAATAATCTCCCTAAGATAATAATTTCCTCTGGTCTCGACTTGAGCCAATGGAAAAAATCGCTCATTTCGATAAGATAATAAGATAATATATTTTCAGAAGACCCCTATATAAATATATGGTCCATTAATATTATAAATTAATAATTCTTTAAAAGTACAAATATATCTAAGAAAAATTAGTGAAATATGATTCTATTATGTTCTGTTTTTTGTTAAAATTTAAATCTAGTTGAAGTTCATCTCTAACTTTTCTTATTGCATCCAAAAGTTACGGTGTTGTCTTTTCTAATTGCACCAATTTTTTTTGAAGAGTTCTAGATGCAAACGTTTCCTTACGCGTAACTGGTTCCTAATGTATTGTATCATCTTCAACTTTATCATCAACGTAGTGTTTCCAATGATATATATCCACAATTTGTTCTAAGCTCCTGACCTCTGAACATGTATCATTTTCACCTATCCAATAGGTTATTAACGTCCATTTTATTGCGGAAACTGAGATCATTAATCATGAACTCAAGTTCATGAATGACGTTTTCACAAATTGGTTCTTTCAAATTTTTTGAGATTCCATCTTTGGACAATTTTTTCGGTGTCGAACACTCTTTAAATTAATAAATATTAATTTATCGATTAAATAATAGCTCTACAAAATAATAATATTTCATGATCCCGCCTCTATTAATTTAGAGAAGTTTTACTGTATTAAGTTCTTTTAAAACTTCTTACCATATGTTTTAGGACTATTTAGTTATTAATTTTCTCAATACTTCTTATCATATATTTTAGGACTACTTAATTATTAATTTTCTTAAATACTTCTTACCATATATTTTAGGACTACTTAATTATTAAGTTTTCTAATACTCTTACCATATAATTTTTCTATTTCTCTTACAATACATTTTAGCATTCCTTAATTTCTTATTTCTCCGAATACTTCTTACTATATATTTTAGGTTCCTTAGTTATTAACAGTTCTAATATTTCTAGCCATTTTTTAAAATTAAAAGATATATATTTTTTGCCATATATTTTAAGGCTCTTTATTAATTGTTCTATTTATTTTCTTCATTTTAATTTATATGGCATATTTTGCAATTTAAGTAAATTAATTTGACTAACTTTCAAAACTAAATTAGATTATATTAATAAAATATTTTAAAATAAAAAATTAGATAGTCAAAAACTAGACAAAATACTAAAATTATAAAAAAAATTCATATCAATAAAATGAAAAATTTATGTTAAAATATTAGTGCAACTGTAGGGATGGCAATGGGGCGGTGTGGGGTGGGAGTGGGGCGGGTTGAGCTTAACCCGCAAAATTTTTAATCCGCCCCGCATAATAACTTTTTTCATTTTCAACCCGTCCCGCATAACTTTTTAAATATTTTGTTTTTCTAGTTAAGTTTGATACTAAAAATAAAATTCATAAAAAAAATTCTTTTTTCATCAAGTTGTATTAATTTAATAGGATAGTGAATTAAAAAATTATTTTTTAGAGGTCAATTGGAAAACATGTAAGAAAATGTATTATTTTTTATTGAACCATTTGCATTTACTATCTTGAATATTTTAGTAGATTTACAGAAATTATCTTAATAAATAATGCTTTATCACTCTTATAACATGGAAAAACTTAAAATTAAATTTGAACCCACATAAAATCGAGGAATTGACACAAAGGCACAACTTCTACATTGAATTAGCAATTTATAACCCAATTTTATTTAGCAATTAATAGTCCAAAAAAAATAATAGCATGTATTAGCCCAAAAGTAAATTAACTGTATTTTATAGATTTACATTTTACCATCGTGCAACCAATTGGCAATAAATAGAAGACGTGGGGATTGTTTTGTGATTTTAAGTCCTATAACTAAGGAAGTTAGCATTCCAGTTTCCTAAAATTTCCAAACCCAACTCCATTATTAGTATATCTTTAAAAAAAAAATGTAGAGCAAATAAGAGCCTCAAGATATAAATGATACCTTTGATTGTTTTGATTCATTATAATGGAGAATGGGATAGTAATAATAATTTTGTAGATTGTTCCATAGAAGCGGTGGTTATCAATACGGATATTGATTTCAAATCCTCTATATGTTGATACTTCTATTAATTCTTTTGAATTTCATTATAAAATCGATGACTTTTCAATATCGATGTTGAAACGAAACAATATAGAATTGCAAGTATACATACAATCGAAGAAAGAATAGGAAACTTTCAAATACTAGCCATCATGTATGTGCTAAAGTTGAAGATGGAATTGTCAATACCAATTTGATTGCTATTGGTGTCAACAACACAAACACTTTATATTTTATTGGTTACAATCATATGATTGTCCGAGAGACTGTATTTTAATGAATGCAATATTATTGAGTGTGTTACTAAAACTATACTAACAGAATGTCAAGTTTACAAGAAATTTCTCTCTCTAATATCTATGATAAAAATAATTATGCTATTCGAATGGTGTTTCAATTTAAGGTGAAAAGTTTAAATACGTCAAGAAATTATCAATTAAAAAAAACAATTATGTATACACTATGCATTCTCTAAAATAAATGATGTATATACTTATGTAACGAGTTTATTAGGCTAATGTATTCAGTCAGTTCAGTATGTATTCATAATGTTTGACTCAAAGAATATTTATGAATACATTATAAATTTATGTATACATAAAAATATTGTGTATTCATTCAATTAATTTATGTATACAATTAAACGTATGGTTTCTGCTGCAATGTATACACATTTATGTATACATTAAATATGACTAATTCGTGTATTGATTTAATTAATAGTTGTATACATTAAATTGAATGACTTTATACCAATGTATACACAATCATGTATACAATTATTATATGTGTTATATTTTTACTAATTCAAACCAAATGGCATTACTAATGAAGCATCTTCAAATACTTTCTCTTGTAAAAAATGTATAGAATTGCAGTAAATAAAATTCTATAAACAGATTTTGCATTCAAGTTACACACTATTTTGTACTTATACCACCCAAAAAAAAATATAAAATTAAGATTTATTTTTCCAAAAAAACTCATGAGATCCCTTTTACCCATGAAAATAAATATAAAAAAAATAACACATTATAATCTCAATTTTCCCCAACTAAATTGAAATCTTCAATTTCACAATAAAAAAATTCATATAGTTTGGCAATGACAGATTCAATATATATATGATAGAACAAATATAATCAAGAACAATGAAAAGAAACGATTTAGTATATTATCATACATTGGATGAACGTAAATATGGAAGAGAAAATTTAAGCAAATACAGAGTATATGCATGCATGAAGAATTGTAAAAAGATAAAAAATAAAAGGTAAAAAAAAAATGTTGAAAGAATCATTATTAACAAAGAATTGTTTAAACTAAGAAAAGAGAAGAAGAAAGAATAAAATTTTTACTTTTCAATAAATAAAGGATCGGTGAAAGAAAAAACATGTCTTGAGAAAAGTTTGGAGAAAATTAGGGAATAAAATAACTTTTTAGAAAGAAAAAAAACTCTTTCGAGTAAAAGAAAATATGGCTAATAAATGCCAAATAGATTTTCAAAAATCTTTGTTTTGCTAAAAGATTATAAGGGTGCTATTTATTGCCAATTTTAACTATAACATGTCATGCTATGCCAATTTTACCATGAAATCACATATACCTGCAACCCATCCCGTATTAATTTTTTTTAAAAGCCCACTTCAACCCGCCCCGCACAACCTTAAACCCGTCCCGCCCCACATAGCCTTAAACCCATCCCGCCCCGCCCCATTGCCATCCCTAAGTGCAAGTAACAAGTAAAAAAGCAACGGGGAGAGAGTAACGTATACTCCATCTGTTTTACTACCAAGAATTGTGGTGGATTGATAAATACTCTTTCATCTTTAACCAAGAGGTTTCGGGTTCAAGGCTCCTTGGGTACATAGTCGTCTTTGTTATGGAGTGTTTTATCCCTCCCCCCATCTGGCTAGTTCACAAATATATAAATTAAAAAATTTGAAGATTTTGAGAGCAAATTCTCAGTCATTGACTTAGAAAAACGAAATGTGTCACATAAATTGAGACATAAAAAGTAATATTTAAAAAAATATATATTAATATAATTTTCAGAATACTTAAATTTCCCAAATTATAGTTTTAAAAAAACTGAATCTCATAATCCAACATTTTGATAGAGAGGAGTTGTCAAAATCTTTTTAATGGAAAAAAAAAAACTCTAACAATCTATGCTAAAAGCATTTGCATGTTGTTAGAATGGACGATAACTTCTACTCAAACCAATAGCAAAAAATCCTATAAGCTCTTTCCTATAAGGTAAATATGATTTTCTCTTATTCTTATCAGCTTCTTTATCCGCTCTATTTCGTACATAATACACTGCCTGCTGAGACGCCGGCGGCGGCGGCGGTAAAACCTTTTCTCCTCCGCTAGTGCTAGTTTTCGTCTGCTTAAATTTTCCGGCCGTCTTCACCACCTCACTGGAATTTTTTGTTTTTGCTGATTCGTTTTCTATTGTCTTTTTTGGTTTGAGAAATACAAAACTGTCCTCTTCCTTCCCTTCACTATTACTCCTCCGTAACAGATCTCGGATCCTTGGCCATCGCTTCGATACAAATCCTGTTGATTTACTCTTCTTGCATTTTCCTGGTGATGGCTCACTTATCTTCGGCTTCCACATACAGTAAGTCCCGGCAGGTATCGTCTCCAATTCCTCTGCCTCCGATGATGCCGATGATTCACTTTTTTCTAGAAACAACTTCTTCAACGGAATCAAAATTGATTTATCAACATCCTTCAAATCCGAATCGCTTAGCAATAGATCGCAGTTGAAAAGAGGGAAAATTGGCTGCTGGAATTTAGTCTGACCGTCATAGATGAATTCCGCGATTGAGTTATCCGGTTTCTCAGAGACTAAAGAGAATTCGAAATCTTCTTCGCCGCCGTTCAAGCTATCTTTCTCCTCCGCCTGAAATTCATCGGAGATTTTTGCAGCGATATCCGATAAAAGTCCAAAATTGTTGAAACTGAGGCACAAATATTCATCTTCTCCGACTTGTTTCATATTTGTTTTGCGGTTCATTTTGAGGGAAAGAGAATTGTTTGTTTTCTTCTCCTCTGCTGCTGGGTTTTATTTATAGAGGTTGTGCAAGTGTACTTTCCTTGATGGAAAAGAGACTAGAGGGCCCACCATTCCACACGTGCTTCTAGAACTTACGAAGTTTTTAGTATCAACTTGGAAAGTTGTCAAATACTCACGGTTTGATTTAGAATCGAGTTTAAAAAAAAAAAAAACTTTTTAATCATATGATTCTAAATTAAAGTTATTAAAATGTATCAAAATATTTTTTAATCTTATAATCTTAAACATGTCACGTGAAAAGTTGAAGTTACAGTATTATCAAAAAAGGAAAATAGTCATTCTTTTTTAAACGAACTAAAAAGGAAATTGAGTCCTTTTTTAAATAAAAGGAGTATATATATTTTTGGTAACTTCTTTATAATTTTAACTTTTTAGGAGTATTTTTTATACATAAGATTTTCTTGCCATGTTCTTTTGTCATGTATTACATCATTTAGCTCTATTATATAAGTTGTTTTTTAAAAATTAGATTTCCTTCTCTTTTAAACTTTTTATTATTTCATGTAATATGATTTTGTTTAATTGGTCAACAGATTTGATGTAATATGATTGGTATAAAGGAGCCTTAAAAATATATGGCAAGAAATATTAGAACAATTAATAACCAAGGAGCCTTAAAATATATGGCAAGAAATATTAGAACAATTAATAACCAAGGAGCCTTAAAATATATGGCAAGAAATATTAGAACAATTAATAACCAAGGAGCCTTAAAATATATGGCAAGAAATATTAGAACAATTAATAACCAAGGAGCCTTAAAATATATGGCAAGAAATATTAGAACAATTAATAACCAAGGAGCCTTAAAATATATGGCAAGAAATATTAGAACAATTAATAACCAAGGAGCCTTAAAATATATGGCAAGAAATATTAGAACAATTAATAACCAAGGAGCCTTAAAATATATGGCAAGAAATATTAGAACAATTAATAACCAAGGAGCCTTAAAATATATGGCAAGAAATATTAGAACAATTAATAACCAAGGAGCCTTAAAATATATGGCAAGAAATATTAGAACAATTAATAACTAATTAAGAAGCCTTAAAAATATATGGCAATAAAATGTTAGAACAATTAATAAATAAGAAGCTTTAAAATATATGGCAAGAAATGTTAGAACAATTAATAACTAAGAAGCCTCAAAATATATGGCCAAGAAATATTAGAATGTTATAAATAAATAAACGGAGAAGGGCGTAAAATGCCCCTCAAGTATTTGAATCGATATAAAATTACCTTTCATCCACCTATCGGCCCTAAAATACCCTAGACGTCCACCTTTCGGCTCAAAAATAGCCTTATGTTTAACGGATCATACTCATTAAGTGGATGGAGGGTAATATTGTATCAAATCTAATAGTTTAAGGGCATTTTAGGCTTTTTCCGTTAAAATAATTTGAAATTAATTAATATATAAGTTCACATGATTGACTTGATTTTGAATTTCATAGTAAATTTAAAATTATAAAAAGGTTAGACATCTCTCTCTACACTCCTCCCTCCCCCGCCCTTCACTTCCTATCTCTTCCATTATCTTTTTTCTATTTGGATCTTGTCCACAATTTTATTTTATTTTAAATTTATGACAAACAAAAGAGGAAAAATGAAGGTAAATAACGAAGCATTCATATAGAAATAATCAATTCAATAAAAGATTACTTAATTAAGCAAATATGTACAAATATTATATACTTTTTTGTGTGTACCCAAAATTAAAAATAAAAGAATAAAAATAATCATTTCTCTTATCTCCACCATCATCCCATCATGACAATAATACTAATTAAAAGAATATAAATATGTTAGTTCATTTCAAGTTTGAGTCCCGGATATCCTAATTAAAAACAAGAGATTAAAAAAAGGAATAAATGAAAAAATGAACAAAACATTTGGATAATTGAGAGAAAATTTTATATTAATGAAAATAATATTTTTTTTAGATGGACAATCAGTCGGGGTAAGTATGGATTTTAGTTGGATCCCCATTAATGAGTTGTATTACGTTATAATAAATTGAGGTTGATTCAAAATAGGCCAATAGGAAGATATCATGAAATTAATTATTTTTTCAATATTATTTTCAAGTGCATCGGGTCAAAATATGAATCATAAGTGGTTTTATAGAAAAAATGATTTTTTTAAAACATCATTTTTATTGTTTATTTGAGAAGGGTTTAAATTTGGACCAATCACATTAAGCAATATAAAAATAAATATTTAATAATTTTACTTTAAGGGTGCTATTAAAAATAAGGGCAAATATGAGTCAAAGGATTAACATCGAGGGTAATTTTGAGCTGAAAGGTGGACAACAGTGATATTTTAGGGCCGATAGGTGGATGGAGGATAATTTTGTACCAATTTAAATATTTGAAGGACATTTTAGGCCCTTCTCCATTTTTTTTAATTATATATATATATATATCCATGGCCCATTACTGTAGAAGACTCACTTCTCGAAGGAAGTTTTTTTTCCTATAAAAGGGGCAATACCCCTACAATATAGACACACCAAAAATAGTAAAGAAAACTATTACTTCCTTCATTTTATTACTCTTTACTATTCTTCACTTTCTCCCTTTCTTCTATCTTTCCTTTTCCCCTCTTTTTATTTAATTTATTATTAATATTTTGTAACACGTTATCAGCACGAAACTCTAATTTTCTCCAAATATCTTAGATATAATAAACACATACCTTATATATTTTTAGTTAAATGTTAATTCTTCTTTGTTTATTAAAATTTTTAGTTAAATTAACCTGATGATCTTTATTTGATATATCTAACTCTATTATTATTTACTAGGTTATATTAGTTTTAGTATGTATACAATTTTCTTCCAACTATTCTTATAGTTAAATAATGTATAAAATAATAATGTTACCATAATTTTTTCTTGAACAACTTACGATACTTCTTAAATTTTCATTTATGTATGCTATTATTATATCTAATTTTTATGTACCATGCAATAGAAATTTTATTTATGTATTTTTATATTGCTGAATTTATTTATGTATTTCTATACTGCTGATTTTATTTATGAATTTCTACATATATTGCTAATTTATGTATCTCAAGTTCATATGTTTCTCTTTGTGGTTTTTTTTATAAGCAATTCTTTTTTTACATGGCAATTAATAATGTGAAACTTTTAAGATCTATGATTACTTAAACAGTAACACCAACGAATTACAAAAATAATTGGTGTTTTTCAAATTTTTCTTCATAAGTATGAGCACGTTGTAGTAATTGATTAACAATACTTTATATCACTTTCAAAGAGGTCTTTTAATGATATTTCTGCACGCATCTGTATGCTGAAAATAATAGTGCCAATTTATTTTTATATGAGCATACCTTAAGAATCTATTTATATGTATTTGCTTGAGAAATTTAGTCTTAGTTAAATTTATTATTTCTAACTCATCTCTTTCTTTTAATGTTCATCATGTCAAGCTTATCAAAGCTTGAGTTTGTGGCACTTGATATTACCGGAAAGAATTATTTGTCATGAGTCCTTGATGTGAAATCCACCTTGACGCTAAAGCTCTTGGTGACACTATTAAACAAGAAAATAAAGCATCAAGTCAGAATAAAGCGAAGGCCATGATTTTTCTACGACATCATCTCCATGAGGGATTAAAAATTAAATATTTAACTGTGAAAGACCCTCTTGAATTATGGATTAATTTGAAGGATCGATATGACCACCTAAAACTTATGGTGTTATCAAAAGCTCGATATGAATGGATACACCTTCGATTTCAAGATTTTAAAACTGTAACTGAGTATAATTCTGTTATTCATAAAGTAAGTTCCATATTAAAATTATGTGGAGATAACTATCACTGATGATGACTTACTTGAGAAAACTTTTTCCACTTTTCACGCTTCAAATGTGTTGTTACAATAACAATATGGTGAAAAATGATTTAAGAAATATTTTGAATTAATTACATGTCTACTTGTGGCTGAGCAAAATAATGCTTTATTGATGAAAATCATGAAGTCTGTCCTACTGGTTCTGCTCCATTTCCTAAAGCGAATGTTGTAGCAATACATAACCAATTTGAATCAAGACAAAATTATTATCGTGATCGTGGCCATGGTCGTGGTCATGATCATGGACGTAGACGAGGACGTGGTAGAGAACGAAATAATTATCATCATTATGATGGAAATAAACATGAGAATAACTTGTTTATGTAAATATTGGCCCTTTTGGGTTGTTTAATAAATGGACCCTGAGTCCAAATTTAATTTTTTTTTTAAAAAAAAAAACAAAAAAAAAAACATGAGAATAACAAAGTTTCTCAAAATAATCCTTCTCGAGGTAGAATTAATATTTGTCGCCGATATGGTATGAAAGGTCATTGGGCACGTGAATGTCGTACGCCTGATCATTTTGTAAAACTTTATCAAGCCCCTCTCAAAAGAAAAGATAATAATGTGGAGGCACACTTGACTTTTCAAAATGATGAGGATGAAGCAACCCCCTCAAATAAATATCATAATGTTGAGGCAAATCTTGCATATCAAGATGATGACTTTGAAGGCCTCCCAAATATTACTCATTTGAAAGTTGGAGATTTTTATGAGAATATTGATTGGAGAACTGATCATCTAATTGATGATAAAATTATAAGAATAATTGTTGTTTTTCTATTATGTTTGCAACTACGTTGTTCTTCTTAACTGTTTTTCTTAAGGTATTATGTTTTACTAATTTATGCATTTTTAGTATAAAGTTTCTTATGTTTTTAGTTTTTCACATTCTTATATTGTATCGAAATTCCCCAGTCATCAGTTGGATCTAAAAAATCAACTATGATGATATATGCCTTATAGATAGTGCCACAACACACACACACACTATTTTAAGAGATAAAAAATAGTTTTCTTATTTAATTATGAAGAAGCTAATGTTAAAACAATATCTTGTAGTACAAG